TACATCCAAATCTGCCAAAATAAATAATAAAATGTTTGCTGTTGGTATAACAGTTCGCTACACTACATAGAATAAAATACAGCTGACGCGCAGTAAAAGATTGGCGTGGACCGAACGCACCCAGAACCCGGAGAACTATCGAAACTGACTGGCTAGTACATTATTGTCATTTCGATGAAAAAAGTCAATATCACATGAGTAGTGGGTATGCAGGACTTTGTAGCATTCAATTAAGTTCAGCCTTCTTCTCCTCTCTTCTAAGGTGGTCGGGCGAAGACATTTTAATCAATCTTCATATGCGAGGGGCCTTAAAAATGGTGGGATTTTTGTTGCTCGCCTCTGAACCAGATTCAGAAGATCTATATCCTTTTGGCAGTAAGGAGACCACGCCACTACAGTATGTTCCAGGACTAGTCTGATGAAGCTTTTATACGCTCGAAGAAAAGGTTCTTGAGACATTTCCTTGAAAGCACGTCCTATCATATATATTAAGGTGTTGGCCGGTGTTACTACCTTTGTAACCTGACTCTCCCATTTTACGGTCTCAGATATTAAAACGCCTAGGTCTGTCTGTTCATTTACGGATCTTAAGTCTGAGTCATTTATACCATAGTCAAATTTAGGAATGTTATATAACCTATATGTAGCGTTGTACATTTGTGGGCATTGAGACGCAGTAGCCAGTCCCTTGTCCATCTCTGCAGTTTAGCTAACTCTTCAACTAGGTCGCCATATTGTAAAGTTGAATCTCCAAAAATATTAGTGTCGTCAGCATACATACTAACGTTGCAAATATGTGCTCAGCAAGGTCAGAGACATATATTACGAATAAAAGGGGTCTCGACTCAAAACCTCGACATGTGACGAGAGGCAGCTATTTATCCTCACCTGGAATGTTCTACATGAAAGGTAGTTCTTCATCTATCCCAAGTTTACGTCTTATACGATAGTCCTGTAGTTTGTAAACAAGTCTTGCCAGGGGAACGTGTCAAAAGCTTTTTCAAAATCCAAGTGTATTACAGTGGCGTGCAGTACAATGTATTGCAGGGTAGGCAAGAGGAAAAAAAATAGCACCGCAGGCGAAAAATTTTTTGGGTGCCACGCCCTAATTATGTTTTCCCATAAAGGACATAAAAATAGAGCATATAGTAGGCGACAGAATCAAAAAAACGAACAACTCAAAAGAAACTCATGTATTAAATACAGCACAACCCAATACATTATTATGTACAATGTACGTGGGTATGGAACGGCGATTTGTTTTCAAAAACTCTTTCAATACGTCATCATCAAAGTTTGTGGTCCGTTTTAATTTTTGTCAAAATCCAGTTTCTAACGAAATTATTGTTAAATTATTCAACCTTGCCTATCCTTGCGTATTCCTTAGAATACGTATGAATTCTTTCTTGATAAAAACTTTCAAGAAAGTTTTTAAAATCATCAATTTTTTTCATACAATAACCAATATCCAAAATTTGAGACTGTAAAATATTAAAAATAATATCAGTTTGTATGAAAATATGGTTGAATATTTCTAAAAAATAATTAAATTCAAAATCATTTAAAATAAATTCATGAGATCTTGCAGTTGCAAGAGAGTTGCCGTCCCAACTAGCTTCATCTTCGGTCATTTCATCAAGAACTTTTTCTAAATTTTCATGCTCGTTGTAGATTGTAGTTACAGTCCTAGAATTGTACCCCCATCGGGTTTGTACAACGCGAGGTAATTTTTTTGAGCAAAACCTATTATATAAATCGGAAGGTTTCGTACTCGTGTGAAAAAATGTTGCTAAATTTGGAATACTTGTAAAAAAATGTCTAGTTTCGACAACTCTCTCACACGATTTAGACAAAACAAGTTTTAAAACATGAGCACTGCACCAAACGTACATTAGGACATGTTTTACGAATTTTTTTCTGGACGCCATTTTTTTCGGATGGTAGAACTGCACCTCCATGATAAATCTGTCCTACTAATTTATGAAGGCATTTATAATCGTTCAAAACCTTGAGTATAATATTTGTTAATACTTCTGCAGTGCGGTTACTGCTTACATCAATAAAACCAATGAAACGATCAACGACATTAGAATTTTGGCCAAAATATCACAAAATAACACACAACTGTTCTTTTCCGCTAACGTCAGGTGTTTCGTCTACCATTATAGCAACAAAGTCAGTTTGTTCTATTTCATAACGCACTCTGTCTAAAACAACAACAGCCACACTAGATATAAGGTCATTTTGTATTCTGTTGGAAAGTCCACTAAATACTTCTCTGTTTTTATTTTAACTAATTATATGTAAATGGTCACCCAATATCCCGTCATAGTTCGCAACTAGTTTAATACACTCCATGAAATTGCCGCGATTTTCAGAATCAGCAGTTTCATCATGTCCTCGAAACGGGAGCTCCTGACATCCCAGAAAACATGTAATGTCAATTAACCAACGCATTACATTTCTATTCCGATCCACCTTAGCATTAAGTCACTGAATTTCTTCCGCAAATTGACGGGAAAGGCTAGTTTCTATACGAGATTTACCAAAATTATACAAAGCAAAAATTGCTAATATCACTGTAACCTGTTTTGTCGCATACATTATTGTCTTTTTCTTTTGAAAACAATAAACAAGGCCAACAATATATTTTGTTGTCGTGAATACAACCGCAAAGCAACTTATAGTTCTCGTAACACTTAACATTATAATACCGGGTTGTTTTTTTTTTGCTGTTGACATAACTTTAAATTGGGCTTCGGTCGTCCCACTTCTATAACTTTTTGTTTTTCAACAAACCTTTTGCTGCTGAACGATGCCAAAGTCTTAAATTTTTTAATGCAATTCACATCAGCACTGCACTTACACTCCGACATGTTTACTTTTCATTAGACATCACGCCAAAAACCAACCAAACGAATAATCTCTCTACAATTCAATCATAATTTCTAATTTCTTCGCGATTACGCCGATTAGCGACTTGCGAATGCCAAAACAAAAACAATATCGTACACAATATTGCCAGATTTCCAATTAGCACTGCCTAATATATTTTATGGCAGAATGATTTTGCAGTCAATTAAAATAGTAAATTGGAAATTGGAAATTTGGAAACAATATACAGATGACTTACAACCAGATTTCTAATTTGCTAGATAATACACATCTTGATAAAACATCATAAAATTGATCGTTTACCTAAAATAACGTGGGACCGTTTCTTACATAGTTCTGTAATAACATCGGCATTGGCAATACCGCATGCGGCGGGCCGCATTATCGCAGTGCATCCGACGGATCGGACGGTCCGACTGCTTTCTTGTGTTCATTGCTTGCAGTAACGCACTGCTTTTGCTTGCCCATTTAAATTGATTATTAAGCTTCGGCCGTGCGTTCGACTTTGAATAATGGGATGCGTTTTTAGGTAATAATAAAACGTTGAACAGGTGGCGCTTGTTTTGTATGATGTTTCCGGCTTTGCAAGCGTAATAAAGATTATACTAACTTACTATTTAGAAAAATAAAAATATTTAGGTCATTTTCAATAGGTATGTCGTACGTAATGAATCAGCATTGTTAGATAAAAAGATTTTCAATTTATGTTTGTCTTGAATAAACGAAAGGGTAGGCCATGCTTTTTTGCCTATATGTAATGCACGCCACTGGTATATTATATCTACTGGATATCCCTTACCCTGGGCCCGGGTCCACAGTTCCAAATTGACAATTAAGTTTGACTTAACAGATCTTCGAGGTAGAAAGTCATGTTGCTGGCAAGGAAGTCCTGATGATTTATTCTTAGAAATTCATTGAGTTCCCAAGCAATTATCTTCTACATAACTTTGCAGGCAATAGAGGTTAGACTGATTGATCGATAGGTGTTTGTCAAATATTTATTGCCTTTCTTGTGTATGGGAATGACAAAGGCCTTTTTCCAACTGGAGGGGTAGTTTCATTTCCTCTATGGATTCGTTCATCATTTGAGATATCAGTTTGCTTATGTTCGATAAACAGTTTTTTAGAAAACTGTGGACAAATTGTCAGGACTAGGACTAGCATGAAATTTAAGCTGGGTGAGAGCTTTCAGAACGTTTTATTCGGTGAAGTTTATTTCTGTTATCGATAGTAAGAGTCTCTAAGGGTAGCACAGGAAATTTGCTTAGGTCCTCTTGAACATAAACACTGTAGAATTATTTAGCAAATAGTTCTGCAATCTTAGTTAATTCAGTTACTAATTCACCAGAGCTGTCAAGCAAGTTAAAATGTGCTTTGATTCTAATGAGTTGTTAAGATATTGATAACACTTTCTGGGTGCTTCTTTCGTAAGGTTGTTTTCAAATTCGACTCGTGCTTCTCTCAGCTGGCCTGTAAGTTAATTTTTGGTATTTTTATATAATGCCTCATTTCTGTGTCTATCTACGTCACTTTTGTTGTTTCTATAAATGTGCCAAAGTTTTTGTTTTATTAGTTTCAAGTGCCTCTTTGTAATCCTCGATTTCTTAAGAACTTTTTTGTGGTTTGAGATACAATTTTACACACCTTTACTACCTGTTACCTGCCAAAGCCACCTCTACCCAAGCTTCATAGCCTGGGATTGTTCTTATCGCGTTCTTATCGGCATATGGGACATACACAGAGAAACTTTTACATTTTATTATTTAACTAACGCCGCGTCACGGGCTCTTAGACCATACTGGTTGGTTTACTTACTTGCGTTTGTATTTTTTTTTATTTAGTGCTAGTTATGACTTGTTATATTATTTATAAGGTTCATTATTTGGTATTATAGTGATGCTAAGGGTACATTAGTTAATGTCTATAGGCATTATTGTAATGGTTTTAGATTGTTTAATTTTCTCATTAACCATGATTAACGCGTATTAATGTACCATTATCTTAATGTACTTTGATTAAAAAATAATTACCTTCTTACTCACTTAGAAACGCAATAGAAAAAAATAAAACGCAGCTCGTCCCAATGCAAGATATTTTTTTTGCAGGCCAGCCAGCGTCGAATTCCTACACTGCTTTCCCGAATTCCTCAGATATCCTCGAAAATCCCGGCAACTCATCGGGCACAGATTCCGGCGACTTCTCATCGATTGGAGGCGCCATCTGGTGTAATTGCCACAAAGCACGTCGGACAAAAAGTGCTCGCCGGCGACCAGGAAGGCCTGCTGCGATACGTGGGCGCCGTGCACTTCGCGAAAGGGACGTGGTGTGGTATCGAACTCTTCAACAACGTCGGCAAGAACGATGGCGTGGTCAAGGGAATCCGCTATTTTGCGTGTGGGAGGAGTAGAGGGCTTATGGTGCCCGTCGCCAAGGTTTGTTTACATCAACGGCTACATCGCAATCAAAAATATATTCCTAGGAATGCCTCTAAATTTTCAATTTTGGACAACTAATTCCTCTAATACCATTAATTCCCTAATAATACATCTAACACCTACTAGATTCAGATTCAGATTGTGAGAGTCAGTCATCTGCCTGTCCACCCAGAGGATCTATTGTGACACTCCTCATAGCTATAGAGCTCCATAAATTCTATGGTGTAGCTCATTGCTCATTGGTTCTGCGAATGTAAACAAAGTCTTGATAAGCCTTAACTCTGACATAATTTGTATGTGACTGTTTCCTCCTCTTCTTGACAGAATCTGTATTCAATGATTTCTTCCACTCCCATTAGATTTAGACCTACTATTAATCTGACGGTCTTTCTTTTGAGACTTCTCTAAATTTAGCAGATGGACCTCTGAGGAATTCCCTGGCCTGTCTTTGTGCTGGCATGTTTCTTAACCATTTCCGGAATTCTCTTCCCACCCTTTGTGTCATGGCTGATTTTGCAACGGGTTTGGGCGTCCCGCAGAAGGGTTCTGGTCCGATCATACACCTTGATGAGCCTTCACGTGCTACTTCGTTGGCGCGTTCGTGATCTCTATGGTCTTCGTGCCTTGGTACCTACGACAGCGTCACTTAATCCTGACTTTCTATCTGATTTAATGCCTTATGAAAATCCAGGGTTTTGAGCCGTCTCTCTACCAGATTATATCTGCCCTCATTGATGGATCATTTTTGCAATTTTAAATTTTTATGCCGCCGATATATGAGTTTTGTAATGTTTAACAATGCAATATTTGGGTGTTGTGCTGTACATAGACAGCCCTAGGACTTTGTCTGCCTTGATCCCCCTGTAGAAATTGTCATGTTTAAGTGACTGGCTTTGCAGTAATGTATATGCGACGGATCTAGCTTCACCATTTATATAGATCTGTATTGGTAGAATATGCAGTAGGTTTCATCTGCATGATTCTTGTCCACCAAACAACTGGTCCGTACGCTATCGTTGGTCTTACTAAAGCACAGTACAGTACAGTTAAGTATAGTCGAAATGTGCTCCTAGATACTTTGCTTCCCTGGAAAAGTGTAGTTTTATTCTATGTACTACTGGTGGTTTGAGTTCTGTGGAGACTCGCTTGTTAATAAATGGGAAGCTATCGTTTTCTTCGAGTTAACTGTGAGTTTTGGTACCAGTTTTCCAAGATTTTTATAGCCTTCTCATGGTAAATTTTCCTTGTACCACACTGACTAAATAGTCTGCATATCCCATGGAATAGAAGTCCTCTGCTGACAGCTTTTCAAGCAGGTCGTCAACCAGAGGAGAGAAAACCCGGCCTTACGGGCATCACCTCCCCTCCGGTGCCTTCATGGTTGTCTGCCCTAGATTGCATATTATCGTCCTGTTTCTTACACTCTCTTGTAGTCATTTATATAGCGTCGTTGCAGCTCTCGTCCTTTCTAGTGCTCTGGTAATAGAATTTTCTGACGCGTGATTGAACGCTACCTCGATGTCTAGAAAGATGGCCATGATATTTTCTCGAAGAGCAGCCTGTTCAGATTACTCAGTACCTATGCACTAGCCTTTCTATGGTGTTCAGCATAAATCAGAATAGGCTTAATTATATTGGGGTGGCGTCCGACATTCTGCGCACTTTTGGCAGGCATAGAAGCCTTACCTATTGCCGTAAGTGGGGTACAGGTCCATCCCCATCCCCAGGTGAGGCAATATAATTTTCCGTCCATTTTGCGGTAATATAGTATAGTATATATACAGTATACAGTATATACAGTATATAGTAATAGTATAATATATAGTATATAGTATATAGTATAGTATTTTTCATCCAAATGCTTAAATTGGTTAATTGCCCACTTGACTCTCGCACATGTTACTACTTCTTTAACTATTTTCCAGTTCCACCCTGTGGGTCTTAGCGAGCTTTTTGAGTCAGAGAATAAGTCCGACATGTCTCTCAATGGTGTTGCTGTTGGAAACTGGGCCTCCATACTCTCCTTCAGATTTTCTTGAGCTGTTTTTGTGAGGATTTCGACATAGTTGTTTGTGTTCTTTTTTGATAACACTTTATGGATTCTTGAGCATGCGGGAGTCTGTATCGTTTACCTTTTCGCCAAACTTCCTCTAAGAGCCTCATCTAGCGTTCCACATTTCTTTGTTATACTCTGTTAGCTTTGACCTATACAGGTCGCTACTTTTTGTTTGCTTTGGCTTTGTTGAACAGCACTCACACTGTATCTCATCGCAGTTTCCCGAGTTTTCCTTTCCACCGACCTGTGTTTCGTTTTTGATTCCACTTATTTCTTTAGTAATTCCACTAATACCAACTGATTTCAATTCAAGTTTTTGCTAATAGGAATGAAAATTTAATAAAAAAACTTGGGTATATAACGCGCTACGCTTTAAAGGCTTTCCTGGACCAATGTGATAGCCAACCACCATGGAGGACAGGCGGACGGATGAAGTAATCACTGATCACTTTTCTCAATTATTTAATTTACGGACAGATATAATACTTAACAAGACATAACTTATTTTTCATCTGCTCTACCCCGGACTATGTTAATGAAAGCCCAGCCAGACGGACAGAACCATAATATTTACGAAACTTCATAAAGAATAACGACGGTCATAACACTCTCTAGTCAGTCCTACCCACACAATCGGAAAATATTTTAAATTCATATAAAAAGTTCGTCATCTCCGTCTCCTCGATAGTTATTGTAGAAAAAATACTTATCAACACTTCAATTTCAAGTAATGGTTGTTTTGCCGATTTCGTATCCAAACATTTCATGGAACCTTCTATTTAATTCGATGGTCATGTATGTTTTTCACACATTACGATAGCAACCGCTTTAGAACTAAAAGCTCCCCTTAAAAACTTTCTAATTTATTAGAATTCTGATGAAAATGCTATCAAAACATTTATTCTAGACAAATAAATTGGAAAATTGTCACATATTTGTCGGTTTCTGAGATAAAGTGGATATTTGGTGTGGATAACTTTTTTTGGTCCCTACCTACCTATGTTCGTTGTTAGTGAAGAGCTTTGCTTGTTCGCAAACCTTTGGTACTTTTTTGTGAAACGGAAGATGACATTTATAAAATTTTCATGACTTGCTTAGTTGGTAAAATACAAGGTGATTTTGGAAATTTGAAGTTTTGGGGCACCCCTGGTAAGGTAAAAAGGGCATCCGATGTAGACTTTTACGTATAATTCAAAAATAGTTTGCCTTGGAAAAAGGATTGATTAAATATCTAAAATAGTTACTTAGTTATCTTATTTATTCCTTACTTACACAGCAACTTTTATAATTTGCATGAAGCCAACTTAGTTTAATACTAATGTTTTATTTGTAACATTTCACATAGCTTTACAACCTATATATTATTAAAAAGATAAACCAAAACGAGAACCTAGATATTAAAACAATTATTTAAAATGATAAAGAACAATAAGCATTAAATATTAGTTATAAAAGCTGCTGTGTAAGTAAGGAATAAATAAGTAAGGAATAAATAAAGTAACTATTTAAGATATTTAATAAATCATTTTTCCAAGGCTACCGCAAATGCCTTCATGAAAATTTAACAAATAACATTTTTGTGATACTTTTATGATACTATACAAATAACCCCATATAGTTTTACATTTATACATTTATCGAATTGGCCTATAATATATAGGGTCTTCCAATAAAAAAAAAAAAACGAATTATATTTTTCTTTCAAAAAGACGAAACCATTTAGAAACAAAACTGACTACGCTTTTGAATTCTACGTAAAAATCTACATCGGACGCGCTTTTCACCTTTCCGATATTTCAAAACCTCAAATTTTCGAAATTACCTTGTATTTTAACAACTAAGCAAGTCATGATAATTTTATAAATGTTATCTTTCGTTTCACAAAAAAAGTACCAAAGCTTTGCGAAAACGTAAGGCTCTATCTTCACTAACAACGGACATACCCCTCAGTCGCCACCAAAATGCGACACAGTGTACACTAATTCGGAAGGCGGAGTTGAGTTCTACGGAAAAAATTATACAATAGATACTGTCGCGAAACTCGCAACTTTCTATCTATCAAAATATGGAAGTTAAACTAACCAAAATGGGACATCCAGTACAAGCTGCATTGGGTTTTTTTCCAGGTGTCACTGATCGAAGGCAGCTGCGAATCGTTGGGCGGCGACCACGCATCAGGACCATACTCTATGCTCTTTCTGAACAGCAAAATAGCCAGTTCGATCAATTTGAGCCGAAACGCATCAAAAAAGGACAATTACGAACCGGTTGTCGAACGTACTAAAAATTTGAACGAGCCCACTGTGCCGCGCAGAAGTTTCAGCGCAGAAAATCTGACCGAAACCCACCATTTTATTGCCAACTCCGTAGCTGATTTACGTCACCAAACGCAGATCCGCATAGAGTACGGACAGCAGAAGCAGCAGAAACCGAAGAAGCGATCGAACGAGATCCCGCTACAATATGAAGACTCTACGAATGTCCAATCGCTCGAAAAATCATGCAAAGATTTGTTAACTGACTCGCCTAAGGAAATGAAGCAAAGGCGCAGGTCGAATCCGGAAAAACCGCTTTCGTTGTCGCACCTGAAGCCTTTCGAAAACTTTTCGGTGGATACTCCACCACAAAAATTACTGTTCACGGACTGCGAGTGTTCGACTCCTGCGATAACCGCCTTCAACGAAACTGCAATTAGGAAATGGCGGTTTAGTGACATAACATCACCCATTATGGACAACGACAGCGGGAGCAAAAGGGATTCGCTTGATTGTGATGATCACTCCTTGGGGATTCTGTCTTCTTCGCAAATGGTGGATTTCGAAAAGACGAAGTACGAGAAATTAGGTGCGTAAAAATAAGGTTAAGTTTCTCTATTTAGGGTTAGGGTTTCTCAACAAATTTGGCAGATAACTAACCACTTGGCTTAAATTTTACCCGGTTTCTGAACACATCGTCGAGTTAATTGTTATTACCTCGTTTTATACACCTCCGGATTATCATAATAACGCTGTTTTGGAAGTGATGGGAAACATTTGGCTTCTTTTCATACGACTTTTTCATATTCCTAGGGGACGTAAATATTAATGTCCTTGAAAATTATTCCGCTGTCATTCGTCTTGAGTTTATTTCCGGATTTTCAGCTACTGAGACTAAAATTTCCTCTTCCAGCTCCGGCGTAATCATTTTTGGTCGCCCCACAGAACCTTTCTTGGGGCGGAACGAACCAGTTATACCGGATCTGTTATAAATATTCTAGAAATATTTTAAAATCTGGGCGCCTTTGATTTGGAAACGTCTCCAAATAACGTCTATGAGCTCGCCGCCCATTATCATTCTTTTGTGCGGATAAACATATAAGTCGCACATCTGCATCTCCAAAACTAAGCAGAATTTTTTAAAAACATCCAACCTATCGCATTTGTTTTAGTCACGGAATACTTTGAAAAATTTTGCAGGTATTTTATCTTGTCTGTTTTCTTCAGTGCCTATTTCGCACTAGACAGGCTTTTATTGTGATTATGTCAAAACCTACTTTGAACTATATCTCGGAAAGAGCGACTCAGCGCGAAATATCAAAGGTATACCTTTTTGGTGTAAAAAAGGTGTAAGAAGTGACATATTTATTAAAAATCTACATATGCTAAGGTGCAAAAAAATTAGGATGTATCAAATGTATACGAAAAATTTGCCACAAAATTATTCACGAAAATGGATTTGTCATGTCAAATCCTTGCTAAATTTTATGTCAAAAGCTCGAATATTTTAGGAATTATTTTAAAACTCAAAAATAAAATTTCAACTTTGAAACCCTGTATCTCGGTTAATATCAACTTTTGGACTAAGGTAAGTTTCAATTTACAAAGCTTCTGGATTGCTCCTGCGTCGGTTATTGTTGAGTCGAATTTGTAACGTTTCGCCAATCATCATGTTGACTTCTTCAGAGCTTAACTGAAACTGGTTTGCATTCTACTCTGTGCCTGCTTATATATTGTTTGAGGGGGCCGGAGCTAAATGAGCGGCATAAACATCGTCTCGAATGACTGATTCCTATATTGGTGAAAGGCAAAGACTTGAGTCGCGGTTAGGATTATTAGGTTGCTTATAGATTTCTATAGGTTCCAGGATTTTTCGTTGGTAGAAGAATTGATTACATGCAAGAATTTTAGTTTTATCTAATAAAATTTTATGTCCGGGTTCGTGATTGTATTCGGTAACTGCTGATGAGTTTATTTTTCTTAGTCTTAAGACTCTTTCATGTTCTTTGAGTCTAGTTGATATTTTTCGTCCGGTCTCCCCAATGTATTCTTTGCCGCATATACATGGAATGCTGTAAACTCCTTGCATCTCAAATGGAATTTTGTTTTTGACGAAACGAAAATGTTGGACAAGTGGTAAATTGGGTTTAGACGTTATATTTCTTTAGAACTTTTGATATGTGATCAGTGATGTTTTGAATGTATGGAAGGACAACAGTGTCAAGTGTGGGATTGTTTTCGGAGTCATTGCTATTGGGAGGTTGTGGTGAGGTGTATTTTCTGTTGGAACGCTTAATATCTTTAATGTGGAAATTATTAGAGAGAAGAGAAGAGGTGAAGTATTTTAATTTTGGATTAAGTGACGCGGGCTGAGATAGTTTTACGGGTCTGTAAACAAGATGATTTTTGGGCCGGATGGTGATGTCCATCTGACCATGCATTCATGTACTGGTCTGTGTGCGTAGGTTTTCTGTAAACACAAAGATAAGAATATCTGAGAATGGGAGGTTATTATTAGTTTCTAATTCAATGGTGAAACGTATGTTAGCATGTAGGTATAGAATTTAAATGTTTAAGAAAATCTACAATGGCCATGAGACGAAATAACAAAAGTATCATCGAGGTAGCGTTTCCATTATTTCGGTTTTAGATGGAAGGTGTCGAGAGCTTTCTTCTCAAAGGCTTCGATAAATATATTCGCCATGACTGGTGATAATACAGAACCCATAGCAGTTCCCGCCGTTTGTTCAAAAATTTGACTGTTATAAGAAAAATATGTTCCAGACAATCATTTTTCAATTAAGGTGAGAAAGTTTGATTCCAGATTCTCGGATTTTAAATATCCAAAATGATATTGAGAGTTTCAAAAATAGGGACTTTAGTAAGAGGGATTCTACGTCAAAACTAACCAGAATATCTTTTATATCTAATGTAATACTTTTTAATTGTTCAATGAAGTGAAAGGAATTAAGTACGAAACTATCAGTTTTCCCTGTAAAGGCTTTTAATATAGAAGCTAGATATTTTGCTAGAGAATATGTATTGGAGAACCGATGGTGCAGCCAATAGGTCGAAGGGGTTTATGAACCTTAGAGACGAGCAATTTTAGACTCATGAGGGCTGTCAAACAAAAGTTTGCGTTCCATAGATGGACGTAGGATCGTTTAAGTTGACTATATGATTCATGTATTCATTCATTCATTCATGAATCTTTTCCTGATATTCATTTGTGTTCAGGGCCAATATAGCATTTCCTTTATTTGTTTTTAGGATTACGATGTCTGGATTATATTTTAGAGATTTTGGAGCAATGCCTTCATACTTTAAAATATCAGATTTAGGACGTTTCGATTTTTTAAGTAGTTTTGTGGTTTCAAATCGAATTTCATTAGCTGTTTAAGATGGCAGTTTGTTTAGGATAGGCTCGATAATTGAAATGATTTCCTCTTTTGGGATAAGCAACCTAATAATCTTAACCGCCACTCAGGTCTTTACCTGTCACCATAAACAAAATATAAGCAGGTACAGACTAAAATGTAAGCCAGTTTCAGTTAAGCTCTGAATAAGCCAACATAATGATTGGCGAAACGTTAGCAAGTTCGACTCAACAACAACCGACATAGGACTCAACAACAACCGACGTAGGAGGAATCCAGAAGATTTGTGTAAATAGCATTACAGTAGCCTTTGGAAGCAATGTACCATTAGTTATGGGACACCCTGTATACATGTGAACAACTGTTTTCGCTCTTTCTTAAATTAGTTTTGTTTTATTGAACCTGACAATAACTAACTTATGGTTGTGCGCTGCACTAACACTTATCTTAATATTGAAGAGATGGCGCTGTCATCAATGAACAAAAACGTCCTGTCCTATTTATGCGGTTCACTTCCAGATTATCATCGTATTAGTCTATAAACTTCTTCTGTTTTTTTATAGAATGTTCAATCTGATCTATATTTAGGTTAGCTTAACTTTTTCTGATTCGTAGTTCTGAAGTTTATTCTGGGCACTTTTCTTCAGCTTTTCCGCGTCTTCATTTGATCTACGTCTTTTCGATACATTTCGGGTTGTAGTTGTTCTAATTTTATCGGTACCATTACTTATTTATTTATAATGTACTATTTTACCTCCTCTACAGTTTGGTTTCCTTTTAGTTTAATTATTAGTTTAGGCGTGTTAATTATGCTTGATGTTTTAGGCAAAATATCAGTCTCTTTAGCGGTTATATATTTTCCTTATTTTTTCCCTACTTTATATAAGTTGGTTTTAATTCAATTCGTACCACGTTGTAGTTGTTACGATCTGCTGTGTAGGCCGGTTAATATTATTTGGTTTCTGAGATTTTTCTTCCATGATTGTGTTCGGCAACTGCTGATTTTTTTATTTGTCGTAGTCTTAAGGCTCTTTCATGTTCTTTGAGCCTAGTTGACATGCCGTGAAGTTCTTGTATCTCAAATTTTGCAGCAAAGAACATATTGGAGATATAGGACGAAAAATACCAACTAGGCCCAAAAAACATAAAAGAGCCTTAAGTATACTCATTAGCGGTTGCCGAACAAAATCATGAAACCGGACATCAAATCTTATTATTATAAAACTAAAATTTTTTCTTCTTTCTACCAAAGAAAAATCCGAGAATAAACTAAAATCTAAAAGTGACCAAAGAATTTAGCGCGAAACTAATTTAGGATGGTCCTCCTTACAATTAATGAATTAGGAAGAGCAAAAAAAATTAAAGAAAAAGCCGTCTGGCTGATAATATTTTTAAGGCACAACCTCGCATGGTTTACAGCACTGTTGTTATTTTCCTTATTTATAAATAAATTTTATAAGTCGTCATTAACTTCCTAACTTGGCTTGGGTGCTCTTATTGGATTCTGCACAATTTTCTTCGTTTTGAAGAGAAGCTCTGCATGATGGTATAGTGGAATAAAAAAACCGTAAAAATGTTCAGCTTTTTTCGGCTTAGAACCAAATAAAACCTTGCCCAAATAATTAGTTAGGTTATTGTACCTCCGGAATGCGCAAAGATACTGAAATTCAAGAAAACTACTTTTTGTCATTCACACTAAAATACCTCCGAAATTATTCAACATATCCGAATGATTTTTTGTTTGATGATGGTTCTTTTCAGATTTTTTATTTTCCTTTTTGTTCACGACCTCAAATACTTAGCATATTTTCTAGGTGAGTTGAAAATTGATTATAGAATTTATAAATAATTTTGTACTAATCACAAATGCGATATTTAATAAAAATCCCTCAAGGAATAATCAGGTTGTAGAAATGAAGAAGATGTAATTGAAATGTTGAATGCAGTTGAAGCTAATTGGTGCAATCCATTCGATTTGGATAATCTTCCCAAACAAAGATTTTGGAGGCCCACGAAAAGGGACAAAATAATGACTTTTAAAGACGGAACTAATAAGTTTTTCTAAAAAACGGTTGTAGGGTCGGAATTTATATTTGGTAGAATTATCTGTGCAGCAAGATTCCAATAAATTGATTTAAATTTAAATGACGTATGAGCTAATTTTGGTTCCTTCAGCACTGTTTCGTGAAGATAGTTCGATTCAAAAATCTAC